AGGGACAAATAACAATCAATAAATGATAAAATTTCAGTGGCTAAAGCATATAAAGCTTCATGTTGAATTAGATCAATCGCTGAATGATATGTCATGGAATAATCATAAGTTTTTCGTACTTATATGTATACGCGATATGAGAAACAAAATATGGAAGCGCCCCATTCTATACGAAGTTGAAGAATAACTGTCAGAATGTAAGACATGCAAGAAGGCGGATATATGGTCACATATGGAACTGTAAACAAAAAGTTGATTGGAAGAAAAAGCTAATAAATTGGCTTTGGCAACTTAAAATAATTTTCGGTCAAAATAATGATGTACAGCGAGTTGAAACTGAAGGGGTTGGAGAGGGGAATTTCACAAGATTGTAAGGGTTCAAAGTGGGCGGAGGGCTTCGTATTTTAGTTGATAGGGTCCCAAGTGAGTAGCCCAGGGGTATATCGTTCGGATCCGGATGTGACCTAAGTTTCCGGTTGACTTCCAAACACCACATTGTATCTATAATGTGGAATTGCTTATCGCATACCAGGTGAGTCCAGATATTGTGCTCAGCTTGCTACCAGTGCTGGCCGACGTAGCTTACCTGTCAAACCAAGTTATGAATAACATTACAGCTGTTATGGAGGAATGCGATAATGGCCTATGCAGTTGAGTCGAAAGTTCTCCGAAACATTACTAAGTGATTGTCATATTGAGATAGAGCTGCCTTTACTGCATGACGATGAGGTACTGTATGGATGCCAACATGTTGTGGCAGTTTAGATCGGAGAGCTGTCTGCAAAATTCTACCACCGAGATGCGGGTAGAACAATGACAACGGCACCAAACTTACCTGAATCGTTCGGTGTGTGACATGCAAACAGCTGCGGCCTGGAGAATTGTGACTAATTCATGTGCATTTCTTACCGTGAGGCTTCCTGAGCCTAGATAGTCACGCTATAAATTCTTGGAGCCCTGTCATATCTGACGAGAAGGGTTTTATCTCTACACTGAAGCGCGGAAGCGAGAGAAAGGTACCCAAAAAGTTTCGGGCGGTTTAACTTCTCTCAACGGGAAGCCGGTTTTGAAGTTGCACTGAAGCCACTTATCAATAAAGTAAGTTTTGTAAAAGAGAATACAGATAACCAGTTGGTGTCACGAATTTGTACCTCTGAAAATGATTTAGATATATTCATGATCGCTGCCTTACTCTAGAAAATGTGTGACAGAATGGAAATCTTAGCAAATAATATCTCAACAAATTCTTTTCTTCTACAATACTTATAAAAACATAATTATTGCATCTGAGCAGTGTTAGTAACAACAGTAATGAAGGCACCAATGTGACTGTCACTGCATCAGGGTCTGGTCCGGACCAAGGAAGGAACAAGAAATCGAGCGCAATTTCGGAGGTGGCAGCCCAATCAATCTGTCGAGAAACCTTAACTTCCCCATGGGTATCCTAAGAATGGCAGCGTACCAAATATTTGAGTACTAATAGGTCCATTTCCATCTGACGCAACGTCCTTTATCTTGTTCCTAGCTTGAGAAACGACAGCTAGAATACATCTCAGAAATGCGAGAGAGTAAATGATAAATCCGGAAGACACATTTAAAAGACTAAACAATGAAAAGAAAAAGCTTGGTGGGAATGTTCCGCAGGAAATTTTTGAAGGCTCGAGGTTCAAGTAAGCCTCAAGAATGCAAAAACCCTAATTAAACCGTAGCCACTGAAATCAAAATGTGAATCGCAGAAAACGATGGAAAGATGGAAATACAAACACCGACTCTTTCCCTGTCTGCTGCTTCGTTTCTATTTTTCCCATCGTAGGAAAGAAATTCACCTCTAAATGTTCGCTTGGTCGTCATCAAAAATTAATTATCTAAGGGGCAGACTTTGGATGAAACTACCCCTCATAGAGGGTAGCCAGCGTTACTTCGTTCACAATACCTGACTACAATAAACAGAAACGAAGGATGTTCATGGGACCATAACTTCATAATTATCAAAACCTGGGATATACTCATCATAAGAGTGACCGGGAAAGTCCAACCTTTACCGACCACAGGGCTGTCACCTACCAGTGAAAACTGCAGACAAGATGTCCTGGAGGTCCACTTCGGGCATTCAAACACGTCTATTGCTTCTGGATGCCGGATTTGAAAACGTGGAGATATTTGGCTCTCAGTCGTAATATTCCTCAGGATTATGAATCTCTGATGTGGAATGGTATTAACGCGCATGAATAATACTGTTCTGGAATCATCAATGAAGTACAACAAATAGACAATCTGTGCATAAATTCCCTCATAAAATTTTCATCATCATCTCCAACAAGCAGTACAAACTGTTACGATGGAAGCATTGGCTTCAAGCTTAATTTTTCTCCAGGTAATACATGTAGTGTCGAAATGCAAACCTGGTTTTTTTGTTAATGTGAAGACAATACTTGAGTATGTCTAATTTGTACATTGTTGTGCACTCATCCTGCCAGGATGTTCCATTATGTGGACATGCAGCACGCACATCTTCTAGTGACAACAAGTGGGACTGAGATTACATGCTATAAAGGTACATATTATTTATATGTCAACTCATACCTGTGTAACCAGTGTGCGCCTGTATATTGAGTAACAGATATTGTCATCATCACTATTCTTTTCTCCTTAAGTGACCCTGGCCCCCTGATCATTCCAACTTCAAACACCCTTACCTCACGCCACATCCCCTTCTAATTTATGATTGTGCGTTTCTATTACTTTTTGTGTAAGTGCTCCCGACCTATGCCACTTCGACCATTTTTGTTCGAGGTAATGGGGAGCTTGGTAAGCGACCATAACGGAAAGTGCCGCCATAAAATAGGGGCACTAAGTGATCCCCAACAAGGTTTACGAAAGGCTTAGTCCTGCGCCCAAAACCTTCTGACAGGCCGATGGTAACTGAAGAGCATTCTGGGACCTCCACGTTCCCGTTTGCGTAAACTTCCCAGGTCTTTCCAAGCCCTTGGAGTGGTCCCACAGGCCGTTCTTGTCCGAAGACTGTCAGGGCTAGGTATCAGCGGCCAGGGGCCTTCCCAGTTGGAGGACTGTTTCGATAGCAGGGAATTTTGTACAAAGTCCAGCAGGCCTTATTCAGCTTGGAGAACATCTCGTGCATCACTGGGAGTGATTATGTGCCCGGTGCCTCTCCTCCTTTTTATGAGTGACCTTGCGCTGAGTCTTGGCTCTCCAGTTCTACTTTGCGCCGACGTCAAGTTATGCCGGGGTGTGATATTCAAAACAGAGTCAAGCGCACTTCAAAGATTGCTGACACTTGGTTTGGCAAAATTTTTGCATTCATCAGCTTCGTATTGCGGTTTCGGAACTTCGCTGCATTGCTGTATGCTACTGGTAGATGCGTCAGCGTGTTGAGCTGCTTGTCAAATCGACTGCTCAACAGTTCAGCTATCTCACTTCTGTTCAGGCGTTTTCCGCTTTACCCAATGATCGGTTTGAGCCTTTGTTCGTCAGCATTCCCTGTGACGCAACCGATATACGGCTTTAAGGTAGTAACTTAGCTGTTTGGACGGGCTACTCTGGTATTTGTGTCCATTATTACTAGCACTTATAACACGTAGGCTGCTTAACTTCTTGTAACAGAGAGTTTGATTCCTCGTGTGGTGTGCACCAGGTATACCATGCCTCCTCTAACCGAGACCGTTCGGGAGGTAGTCATCGGGTTAATTTCGGAACACTGTCTTCTATAGAGCTCCAGATGTTTTCTTCAATATGTATCCGGAGTTCCAGAATGTTAAGGAGCGTCATTCTTGTGACCTTGAAGCCTACAGCAGTTCGTCTTTCACTAGCCGGTAATTGCCTTCCGGTAACAGCGGAACGCTTCTGGTTCACCTACTGATAGCTTTTCGCTGGGTGTCAAAGCGAGTCTCATCAAAGCGTGATGGCTTCTGTCTCGGAGAAAGTTGGACACAGACATCGTCCATTAGGACGTGGTCAAGTCACAACCATTTTCCATCTGGTTCCTCCAGGGCGTTCTCCCCAACTTTCTACACTGGTTCCGCTGCCATAAATGTGTTCCGACTTCCACACCCAAAAGGCAAATGTCTACAGCCTCCTTCGCATCCTGGGTTAAATACCGGTGTGTCAGTCTCCAGTGACGACTACGTAGTCATAGGCTCTCAAAGTGGGTGTCGAAACCACGGCGAGAAATTGCACTTTATGCTCTTTTGTATATAGTAGAGAACTGCATGCCACTCCCACTAGTCACTTGGTTTGCATTATGGTAAAATAGCGCCACAATGAGTTTTGTAATTGGCTTAACACGTTATCAATCACCTCGCCGACCTTTAGATGCGTGCCAATGTATATGACCACTCCTATGATTCCAAGTGAAACGCCTGTTCCTTCGGAACAAGATCACGCTAAGTAAAAATATTTCCTCTTCCAAGACGTCTAGTGTGAACCATGTCTCCATAATGAAAATCATATCTGCATGCAGATGGAGGCAACTTATTCTTAGCCCCAGCAGTTTACTTCTTAGACCTCCTACTTCAATGTAGAAGCATGTTAGTAAGCTACTTTCTGAGCTTAGTGCTGTAGGGGAATCCATGTAGAGGTAAGTGCTGTTACATCGGATCCTGATTGCCAGTCCTTTCGGTTCTTCCTAGCACCCTGATGTTGGTATGAAGGAGGTGCTTACCGTTATGTCTCCAGGTATTAGTTCACTAGATAGTTCTTTCGTGACTAATACTGTCTGCAGTGTTTTTGAAGGTTGCCTTCCATCTTCGAATTTGGTGGATAAAGGTTTACTTTTGTAGCACCTAATACCATCTTCGATTTGTTTTTTTGGGACCCTGCTGTAAAGGTTTCCGTGAGTGACGACGGATTTCTGTAATCATGGTTTTGAAAACTTAGCTTTGTGAGCCCATAAAAGAGTTCATGTTGCATTGCGCGTTGTTTTTCTACATGATACATATTCTCAAACGCCTTGTTAAGTGTTCGCACTTTTTTGACTTAATTATATGGGAAATATACATACGGTTGGGCCTAGTGAGGCCCTCGTTATCTCCGGTAATTTTTCGTCACATTACAAGTGTTTTTATGACGATTTTAATGTCTAAGTTCAGATAGCTGTTTGATTGTACCTAGTTTTGATGTGTAACTGCTGTCATTTTCACATCTCGCGCATAAGAATGTAAATACATTTCGATTAATACGCAAAAATCCACCAACATTTTTAGCCAAGCTACACAATTCTACGCCGATTAGCCAACATTTGGTCGGTTGTTGAGGAGTTATTAGTGGCCAAGATTGACAGTTTTTGGGAGTGCGTGTGTGGCGGGGTAGTTGGAGACTCTACAAAGCGTTTTTACTTGGATTCCATGCTATTGCTGATTAAAGATGGCAGATAGGCTATGAATAGTGATAATTGCCTGAGGTCTCGGTAAATTTGTGACAGTATACTGTCGCAAAAATAAAAGTTAAGACTTTTATTCTACTTTCCCATGCGTTCCATTTGATTTATTCGAAGCACCAATTTTGTTTGATTAGTGCTACATGGATTTCTTCTTAATACACCTGCTTTAGTGACAACCTGACAGCCTTATATGACAACAAACAGAGAGCTTCATGAATCAGTGTGTTCTGGCATCATGATGAATAGTGCACTATTCATCTACTTTTCTAGTGGGATTGCAGCATCATGCATAGATGTAGATGAATGTTTTCTCGACTGCATTTATTGTTTTAAATGTCTCGTCACTTGTCGGTGTCCACGCGAAACATTTTTGTGTATTCAGAGGTGAATTTCAGCTCAACATTCAGGTGAATGCCATTCCCATAGCTCGGTAGATGTACTGACCAGCTGATATAAGTTAGGTTGCAAGAATAGTTAGAGAAGTAGGATATTACTGCAAAACCTCTTACTAAATCATTGACTTGAACCCTCTGGTTTTTTGACATCTCTTCATAGTAATATATCTATTTTCAAAAAATTGTTATGCAAGACGAAGTTTTTCCATCGTGATGGATGTTAACTATCTCCATCTTTTGATGCAAATATATACTCATAGTTTTTAAATGGTCTGTATTTTGTAGTCAGGGTGATTGTAATGGTAGGACAAGTAGTGGTGGCTCCTTGTACTCACGTAGATTGCATTTTCGCATGCCAAAATCAGCTTAGTTAACTCAACAGTGTTAAATTCCTTTTAGGTAGTAACAAACACTTAGTGTAAATACAAATAAATATAAGTGAGATCCGAGTGATGCACTTTAAAGTATGTTTGGCGCGTGAATACTGTTCACTTATTGATTAGGTTTTTTGAACATTTATTGATGTAAATTGTTACATTTCTATACTTTTTTGGTGTAAGATATGTTAGGATCTGTTGAAATAAACGGTGCTAAGTGAAGAGATAGACATAAAAAAGACAGCCAGTTATTATCACTGACTGTTGCACATTAGGTGTGAGTGATTACCCACTGCATGAACGTGCATGTAGCTGGTGAGTTGAGTTTTGGTTATTTTCTCCACACTTTCCTGATATGCACAAGGGACAATCAATAAAGAAAGGGTGGTTTGTCTTGTTGTTTGTTGCATTTCCCTACGTTGTTGTTTTCAAAAGCGCAACATACTTTTGTCATCGGATATAACTTGGTTGGTTGTTTGACTTTTATTAAGAATATCACTAAACTTTTGTATCTTCTTTCAATGTTTCCACCCAATATTATCAAGGTAGCAACCAGACATCTGTCAGTTCGAAAACCTGTAATAGCTTATAATTGGCAAAATGATCTTAATGTGTAGGTACAGTGACGTGAATTGGAGCTACACTGCTAACCAGCGTACTTCCACACTTATTCTTCCATTTCCAGTTATTGTCTTTATTCGATGAAGTAACTTTGTGCTCGGCACGGTATGAGTTTACAAAACACCACTATCCAAAATTAAAATTACTGTAGATGAAACCAAGAGTTAGTGTCTTACTACCAGAGTCTTAAAGCATCTTTCGTATCTGTTGTAGAAAATATATGCACTTCCATATAGAACCGTTCCGTAACACTTAACAAACTTATTAATCTCAAGTTGCTGAGATGTGTTTAACTTTTTTTGCGTGGTAAAAAGTAGGGATGATCAGCAACCACATGCACGTCCGTGCAGTAGGAAGTGAGCCACACCTGTTGTGACGGCTATTAATAACACCTACCTACCCGGACCTGTGTAGGTGGAGCAAAAGTCGAAACAGTGACCCATTTTTTAAAAGCCATCTCCCCTAATCAATGAGCCACAGCTCCAGAAACCGCTTGCGACCGCCTTCATTGTTCACTATTAACATCTTACCTGAAAAACAAAACTTAATGACCAATGTATGTTACAAAACTCTTTTTATATTGAGTTACTCATCTGACCCGATTGTCAAAAGCACGATGATACACAAAACCTTAGATTGCTGCACAACATCTCGTTAGTTTTGGCTGCCTCAATCTCGCCTGATTAACTAGTTCACTAGTTACTAGCCAGGCCTAAGCCCGGATAAACAGGGAAGATTGGGCATAGAGCTACCAAACCTACTCCGGAAAACCAATTCAGTCACTAAAGAAACTTTAAAGCACAAAGAAAATATAAAACATAAAAACAAACCTATTCCTCGCTGGAATCGGAAGGACAAAATGACGCCAGTTGGTGAAAGCCCTCGGGAAGCCAGTTGGCTAATGTGTCTTCTCTCGATGAAAGTGAAAGTAAACATGGGGACATGGAATGCCTGCACCATGTATGAACCTAACAAGGCTGCCCAGATTGCAGATGAAATGAGAAGGTATGGCATGGAAGTGCTAGGCTAGGAATCTGCAGATGGAATGCAAGTGGACTCTCCAAACTGTTAACTACAGAGTCAATAATCTACTCCGATATTGTCACCCAGACGACAACCACGAGCATACTGAGTTATGGAGTGGCTATCATGATGTCTCCAAGAGCATCTAAGGCTCTCATGCAGTGGGAACCAGTCTCCTTCTGCAGGATCATGACAGTAGAGTTCAACTCAAAAGGAAAGAGAGTCACAATCATACAGTGCTACGCTACGCACCTACAAATAATGCAGATGACGAGAACAAGGAGGAATTCCATAGACAGCTGCAATCAACACTGGACAAGACCTCAGTTGGCGACATCAAAATTCTAGTGAACGACATGAATGCCGAACCGGGAGCGGAAAACACAGGAAGAGAACTAACCATGGGTCGAGAAGCGCCAGGTGAAATGATGAATGAGAATGGAGAATTGTTTGCAGAACTCTGTGCATTCAACGATTTGGTGATTGGCGGCAACGAAACGTGTACAAACACAAGGATATTCACAAAGCGACATGGATTTCACCAAACACCACACGGACACAAAATCAGATCAACTTTATCTCAATCTCAAGAAAGTGGAGATGCAGCCTGCTTGACACAAGGTCAAAAAGAGGGGCAGATGTAGGCTCAGACCACTCACCATCTAGTGCAAGGAACCTTCAAAATCAAGTTGAAAGCCTTCAAAGAAGTTGGTGGTAGACCACAGTTCAAATTTAAGTTAAACACTCAGAACAGAAAGTGAGGGGGGAAACTACGAAGGACATCTCTTCACATCAGTCAGTCATCAGGAAAAAGTGAGAAATATTGAGCAACATCCATGAGTAACCCTGCATGGAAGAACACTGGAACTCTGTGGGAGCGACTACTTGGAAGGGAACCTGCATAACCTTGTAAGGAAGGAAGAATAAGAAAGACAAGGAATGAATCTCGACGGACACATGGAAGCTGATAGATGAGGGAGAGGAAGATGGTGAAGCAGAAGATGTACCAGTGCAGTAAAGTGCAGTGCAATGCAGTGCAAGGATGAAAAACGAAAAGAGGAACTGAACACAATATATAAAACACTACACTGGGCAAAGAAGTAAAGAAGAGTGCGCGCAAAGACAAAAGACACTTCCACGACACATTGACAAGTGAAGCAGAACAGGCTGTAGGCTGGTAGGAGAGACAGAGACCTGACACCATTGTATCAAATAACCAGGTTACTACCTGGGAAGAGATCTACGCAGATGAGACCAATGGGAGATAGTGAAGGAAAGCTAGTTAGCAAAGAGAAGAAGCAAAGGAAAGGATGGGTTGACCACTTCAAAAAACTCCTGAGTCGACCACCACTATCACCATCTGCAACTCGTCCGGAAATACCATCAGCACCTCAGCCACAGAACTATCAGTGAACACAAGCCCTTCGACAGAAGCAGAAGTGAATTCGTGAACGCCATAAAGTTGCTGAAATGCGTTAAAGCAGCAGGACCAGATAGAGTCCCACCAGAAGCACTTAAAACAGACACGGAGACAACAGCGGACACGCTCACATCACTACTGCAGAAGGCTTGCAAGAAACTAAGGAGGGAAGAAAGGAAGGAAAGGTACCTGCCGGCTGATTGGAAGAAGGGCTAACTTATCAAATTTCCAAAGAAAAGCGACCTAAGTCTTCTCAAGAACTGGCGCGGAATCATGTTCCTGTCCATCCCAAGCAAAATACTCGGCCTCAGCATCCTGGAGAGGCTAAAGGATGGGGTGGATTCAACTGGATTACGACGGGAAAAGGCTGGGTGGCAGGCTTCTGGAGGAACAGATCATGTGCGGATCAAATTGCAACACTAAGCTACCTATCATCATAGAACAGAACACAGAATGCCAGTCAACTCTCTACCACAACTTTATCAATTTTGAAAAGACCTGCCATGCCAAGTGATCCACAATGGAAAGCTCAGTTACGCCTTTGAAGTGAAGACAGGAGTAAGACAAATCTGCCTACTATCACCAATGATCTTCCTGATGTTGGTCGACTGCATCATACAGCAAACTGTGAAGTACGAGAAGATGAGCTTACACTGAACCGATGAAAAGAGCCTAGAAGATTTGGATTTCGCCACCGATGATGATTTATGTCCAATGTCGCACAACGTCGAAGATCTACGGGCGAAAACTAATAAGTTGATAGAAGAGGCAGGGCAGCGAAGACGGGACTTCAAATGAATGTAGTGAAGACGGAGGTGTTGAAGATACCCAACGAACAACAATATCAACAACGAGAGGCACCAATCATCATGAACGGGAGAAACCTAAAGGAAGTAGTCTTTTTCACCTACCTATGCAAGGCAGCATCGTTTCAACAACAGGTGGCACTGGCACAGATGATGACGTCAAAGCAGCCAGAATCGGAAAGACACTAAGACAGACCTTCAATTACCTGAAATTAGTGTGGAGACCTACTGCACTCAGCACAAAGAACAAGATCCGGATTTTCAACACCAGTTCAGTCGTCAGTGCTGCTATGTGGTTCAGCAACTTTGAGCGTCACGAAAGGGATTTCCAACAAACTACAGACATTTATCAACAGCTGTCTACGCTGGCTCGATACTGAAGATCAGATGACCAGAAAGAATAAGCAACGAGGAACTCTGGGAACGAACCAACCAAGAACCCATCGCCCAACAAATATGCAGAAAAAAGAGGAGATGGATTGGGCACACACTGAGAAGGCCGACTGGGGACATCACGCACCGGTCTCTCGAGTGGGACCCCGATGGGGAGCGACGAGTTGGGCATCCGAGGTTGACAGGGAGGAGATCATGTGAGGAAGAAATGCAAGGTTGTGGCCAGTGGTAGGGCCAGGTTCAAAAGACTGCAGAGAAGAGAGTGCAATGGAGACGTGCTACTGAAGCTGTATGTTCCGTTAGGAACCCAAGGGAAAAATAATAATAATAATAATATTTGGAGGTCTCAATTTACAACAACTTTGAAAACGAAGTTATAAAGGTACAAAACTAAGCTAGATAGAGTTGAATGTAGATATCATAAGTAAGATACAAGTAACCAGTTGACCGAAGTTTAAAAGATTAGACGTGGAAACTTCTTCATAATGTAGTCATTATTTGACTCGTATCTTCGAGCATCTCTTTTCCTTGTTATACAGCATATTAAATAGCCTGATGAGATACTCTATGCCTCCGTGAAAGAAGTGATACCGCTTTCTGTTTTGATCACTTTTTGGCTTTATCCAACTGAGTTTCGGTCCTGCCGGCATTTCACGCATACGTTGCACAACCCAAGAACATAAACTGTACATCTTAACGATCTTATTGAATAAATTATCTGTCCCACCTGGAAGCTTCTATGCAAAGCTATAATTGACTTATAAAAGAAATATATTTGTGCAATCCCAATGAGGTCGAGAAATAAATTCCTGACTTTTCGCGACCTCGTGCAAGCCGCTTCTTCAGAGAATGAAACCTGTGCAGGTTATCGCATGCATAAGCATTAAATGGAGACAGATCAGATCGCCTTGCTCATATATGATAATAATATGAGAATCAATGTAGTCATTATCACTTATCAGTCCGTTAGTTAAAGATTAAGATGTGGATATGCGTGCACACGTGAACGGGTCTAAAAGTGAGAAAAGATTCTTTGGCTGAGAAATTTAGTTTGTTTGTTCGTGTATGTACTTTAGTTGTGACTAACGTATGCAACGTTTCATTTCAGATATACTGTCCAAGTTGGTTATATAGTTGAACCTACCTTACTGTTGAGCTAATTAGGATTCAACATTCTGTGAAATGTCTCAGATATCCGTCTTTTCTTGCAATTTGAAAGTCCTTTTTGAACAGTTTCAATATTTCCAATATCAATTTCGGGACTATAAAAGATGGGATAATTTGTGAATTTTCCAGTTGTCCAGGATTATTTAGAGGCCGTTTTGTGTAGTCTGCATTTTCTTTAGCAAGGATGGGAAATTTGCGGGGTGATTCCCCGACATAATCACCATCACAATCGAAAGTCTAATCAGTAGATACAATTCTGTGTAGAGGCAAAGGGAATTCTATCTTTTAAATGGACTAAAGCACTCCTGAGACTGTCGATTGCCTCGTAGAAGTCTTTTATTTGGTTGTTGTGTGGTGCTTGTAATTCCCCGTTGCTATACAGGGTCCAACTGCTCAACCTCGGTTGACAGATAGGGTCCTATGCGGATGCCTCAATACCGCCGGGTATTCATTATATTGTATTCATCTTGGTGATTGGCAGTGGGATCCAGGACACGCGTTTAGTCCTATTTAGGACTCGTCAGCTGGATTTACCTGCACCCCAGTGGGTGATGTTCCGACTGCGACTCGAACGCAGCACCCATCGCCTCAAACGCTAAAGCATTTTCCAGTAGGCCACTTGGGCACCATACCCACCTTTTTTGCAACAGGTGTTTTGCTACTTGTAATGTTTTGTTGCTATATATGGTTGAATTGCTCAACCTCTGTTGAAATAGGGACCCATCTACAGTGAAGATGAGTTGCCAATGCATTCGCAGTGCGCGAGTTGCGAAATCGTACTCCTTCTGTGTCTTTTGCGTTGAATTCATGGATAATTCTGAAGGCAGACTTTAATGGAGATACATGACAAAAATTGACTAGGTGATCAAGAATCTAACTAGTGACTGATTTACATTCTGTCCTCGATAGCCGCTTAGAACAATATTTATGAATACGATTGAAGGGATTTGGAAAATGAATTCCTCGAAAATAAATTCCTCTTCACTGATTTTCCTTTCCTTCTTTTATGGCTTAATGGGTATTTCATTGCTTAATGTGCAGGTAACCCTATTTGCTTATCCATCGATCGTTCTACTGGGCTGAATTGATCAGTCTGCTTTACGAATGCCTCGATGTTGCCCGAGGACGCGTTGGTATTTAATTTGCTTGATAGGTACACCATCACTCACTAGGATCCAGGTGTGATCAGTTGACGGATCTCGAATAAGATAAAACGCCCGTCCTGGACCCCACTATCAGCTACCACCTGGCAAATTATGTAGATCAGCTTCGCTAAGTTCTTTGTTCACGCTTCTTGAGATGCACGCAGTTTTTCTTTGTTTTCGACATGGACAAAAAGGTTTGTGTCTGTGCCTTCGCAAACCTAAGTTTCTACTATCCTTCCATTTTTCCCCCCCTTCATTTTTCAGGTGTTTACACAGATAGTGGTTTACTGCACCCTTTTTACAACTCTAATGTGCTGGAACTCTCAGTTTGATGGTTTAAATGATTGCCTGCAGAATGCGTGATTGTAAGTTCTTCTTTCATCACTTTTGAATGTCATCAGATGATAGCTAAGGTTTTATATACTACACATCTAGAAGACTTCTCAATCCTGACTCTCCATCGACCAAACAGTTTTAGCATTCCATTCGATCTAGAGCTAAAAGTTCGGAAAATGCGGAAAGATCCATCTGCTAATGACAGATGGTGTTAAATAATTCAGTGTTTTGAAGTTTACGCGCCTATATGCGCATAATTTCTATTTGTATGTCTGAACTTATATTCTCTTTCTAACTATGTGAAGTGTTTACTTTGCACTGAAAAACCCAATTTGTTGTGTTGTTTGTACACATTTTCTAAAAAGGGGGATGTTGTGGAGCTGCAAAAGTGCGTACAATAATCGGTGGATGGGGATGGGCTTGGTGGCTTGTGACTCAAGTTCAGAAGTAAACTTTGTGAATTGCTTTCCACCCTTCCAGAATTTCACTTGGTGTTATGACTTTAAATCCGATTTGTGAAAATGTTGAAACATCTGAGGGTGTTCCTTTAACTGTTACAGGTAACTGATCAACTTCTATCCCTCTAATCAGGATGTTGTTCGCTGACAGGTGTAGCACAGGTAAAGGTGATGCGGGACGACAAGCTACTTGAAACAGCATGCCAACAATTTTTAGGAAAGAAACAACGTGATATTCAAAACACTATCCTTCAAACAATGGAAGGGCATTTAAGAGCTATTTTAGGAACTTTAACAGTAGAAGCAATCTATCGTGTAAGTTGTCATTTCTTTATCCACTGATTGGTCAGCATTTTCATAGAGATAACTTTTCTAATGAATTTAAATAAAAAGGTTAAATTGTCCTTGACTCGAAGAAAAGTCACAAGATTTCTTGTTTTTGAATATTCAGTTGTTGATTTTTTATGTGCGCAACGTAGTTTTTTTTACAAACAAAATATTTGGCTCTACCTTTTGCGTCTAATTCTGTAAAGAACTTTCTTGAGATGCATTGCCATTATTGAGTCATACTGATTATGGGTTCCATATGTATTACTTTCTGTTAGAGCTTGTGTTGTTATTTGGATATCTTTGGCCATACCTGGAATTTTTAAAACTATAGGTCGCGAGCTGTAATCAACTTCTTGACATTAATCAAAGTTCAACTATTTAAACCAGTTTCTCCAAGTGTTAAATAAACTCCACCTAGGTGAAATTCATAGGCAAATTAAACTCACTGGCATTACAGGTGATATAAGGTGGTAAAACCTAACGGAGTTTTAAAGATAGGTACCAAAATTTTTTACCTACCTATTCATTTAGGTTCATGCAATTCATAAGTATTTGAACTGTTTAACTCAAATACCACTGTTTTTTGGTTAGATGCAACGTTTTAATAGATCGATTTCGAGACATCATCTTACGTTTGGCAAATGTGAAACATTTTTAGATTTTTGATCATCGTGTCCAGATAACGGTATTCTTTCAGTCATCTAACTAGTAATTGTCGCTGAACATAGATTCTCTGGTTAGATTGGTCCTTGTGATAATATAGTTTTCCATCAATGAGAAGCTTGAGCACAGCTTCACCTACTGAGGAATAATCAAACAAGAGATATTCATTAAACCTCTTAAAATATGTCTCATTGGTGGCCTTGTACTCAGACACTATTGAGTGACTTTTGTGATGCATTATCATTATCAGTATTACTATAAATATTGATATTACTTACCTTTATGGAGCCACAGGTAATAAACGTAAATATGACTTCCTGATATTTCTAATAATGAGAATTCATTGACACAAATTTAGCTTGAACTGTGTACATACAAAATGAAAACTATGTGAAAATTAGGTCACAACACTGTTGTTAAGGTAGTGAATTTCGTTGACGAATGAATATTTTCTTTAGAAATGACGTAGAACATGTTTTTTTCTCTAGGTTGTAAAAATAACGGTTTCGAGACCATAACAGTGATTACCAAGGAAAAATCGTAAAAGCTATTTATGCCTGATTATCGAGTTTTTCTGGCATCTTTCTCAATATTCACAAGAGATTTTAATTATTTCCTCGAAATATGTAACGTTAGTTTATTGGAGGCAACTGACAGGACACCCTAAACCTAGGTTTCGTACTTGTTGGCAATTGTCAGCAAGGCTTATCTGTAACCTCAAGGGAACTGATGTCCACTCTAAGATTCTAACCCACATCACCCACTCCTTTAGTCAAAGACCTTACCACTAAGAAATCTGAACTGTGACTGACCTGTAGGACTGGATTACATGCACTGATTAGTCACTTTAAAGTAACCAGTTTCATGTTGTCTAGTCCTGAGTGCTGACAGAATCATGTTAATCATTTCGCAGTGCGACCACCAAGCTAAGAAATATATATAAATCCCTAAGTTTCATATCATTTAGCAAGGCCAAGAATGTTCTATTCCTCGTAGCTTAACCATAACCTGTATTTGTTCTAGGATCGTGACCAGTTTGCTGCTCTTGTTCGAGAAGTAGCGGCACCGGATGTAGGACGCATGGGCATTGAAATATTGAGTTTCACTATAAAGGATGTTTATGATCGTGTGGAATACCTAAATTCTCTGGGCGTGCACAAACTGCAAACGTGAAAAGAGATGCTGACATTGGAGTTGCTGAGGCTGAACGTGATGCAGGAATTAAGGTGTGTTTTCGTTGCATCTATTTATGTTTTTTTGTGTCTCCAAAAGATTGTTGCCTATTACAGATTCATGACTTCTCCTTTTATTTTATTCTTTTATATAATTAAATAATGTGAATATATACATTAGGAAGGTTGGTAAACGCCGCAACACTGCATGTTAAACTTACCACTCACTGAATGATGCATCTACAGATAAATAGTAGGCTACAGAGTTTGGTTACACCTGGGTGTACTTCTAAATTTAACTGCTACTATAGTGATAGTTACGTAGGTAGGAAAACTCTGCCAGACCATTGTTGTTTCGTTGAACACTATGCAGCATGTTTAGGCAAAGGGACAGTGAAATTCATCAAAGTTTAATAGTAACTTATCTTTTTTCGAGATGAATGGGGATTTTAATTTTGAGGTAGTGTTCATCACACGCTGACATCAGTTGGAGAACCATTGGAAGCCTTGGGGCACTGATGTCAGATTGTGATGAATACTACCTCAAAATTAAAATCCTCGTTCATCTCAAAATATATTACTGCATAATGCTCATTAGTGACATGCTTCCAGATGGATACCACGAAGTTCTAATGAGAAGCCGTGATCAGTGACGTCAACCGGTCGGAAGGGAAGCAGATGCAATCTGAAGATCTCGGGTGATAGTCGCGCTATATCACGAATTGATAGAAGTTGGAAACTGTGAACCACTGAACTCCGACCCAGTGGTTGGATGGTTAACTCATTCGCCATGAAACCTGAAGGTCCTGAGTTCGACCCCGGCCGGGTCGTGGTTGCGTACTGCTGAGAAATCCCATACTAGGACGAAACGGCTGTCCAGCGCTCCCAGGCTTTCAATAGTCCTCCAACTGATGTCATTCCGTGATGAATGCTTCCTCAAACTAACTTATCTATTTAGTGAATACTGAACATAAGATTGGTAAAAAATTAAGCCTTTACCCTTCTAAATAGAAGTAGCATCACAATCCCCAAAGTTTGTAAGCCTTCGATTACTAAGTCTAGCAGAGGTCAGAGCAAATAAAATGTTCGAACTAAAGTTGTGGACATAAAAGATGTTCGTTCGGTCCCTTTTCCTTCCATGGTCTTCACCTTCAACCCATATACAACCTCAATAATTTTTTTCCAGGCCAAACCAGATAAATGTAAATATTATCTTTGTTTTTACTCCTTTCAATATCATCGTGGTAATGCTCTGTCTTAATTAAAATCTCACGTTCTATCCTTAGTTTCATAATTGATTGAGAATTCAAAACTTTTATTATCCTGTTGATTTACGACAGGTATGTTAAGTGATATGCGTTATCTTTAACGGTTTCCAGGACCGTTAATAGGTAAAAATGAAACGGTATTTCCTTTCTTAACTATAAGACCCTAGTGACTGTCAACGTATTTTATCGATCAATGATTACAGTTTATTGTATTTTCACAACTTGGGACAGACTGATAAGTATGAATGTAAACTAATGTAAACTATTTTTAACGTATCAATTTTGGCGGATAGTGCTAACTGCTGTTAAACAATGAGACAGAACCTACTATCTGGGTTGTACTAATCCTCAGGAGTATTCTGCAATGATACACACAGAATATGTTAGTATCATACATTCATTTCTTTAGTTAAATTCTCAAACATGTTTGTATATTTAAGTCATGTAGTATCGTTGAATTTTGCAGAGCATGTTTGGCTTAATCTCGCAAATGAACCTCAACATTGGTTCTGACTTGAATTGTTTCTTTGATACTTATAAACTGACGTAAATTGACGAGTAACATCTGCGTTGTTTAATTCTGAAACTCTTGGCGATCAGAACTTTTCCCTTCGTGTAGCTGGGATCCAAAAAACCTTATGAACGCAGTGAGTTAACTATCAAACCATAATGGTAGGAATCGAATGTTTTTAACGTTAGTTTCTTCTTAATGTTGCTTGGCCCAACACTCATGAATAATTTGCTTCTGAGCCTCAGTTCTCAAGTTTCTAGAGAAAGTTCATGATATTTATTAAAAATGAGTTTCTGGTTGGTAAACCAGTTTTTAATGACATTGAAGATTGATTTCAAATCGGCCAGCTTCAACAGCTGCAGGTCATCGTATTCCGGCGTAACTACTGAACGGCAACGTTAACAGTCATGAGTCGTTAAGCTTTTGATTTGAATTCTATCCCATTGATTCCTAGTTTCCAGTGGCTCCTGATAGAAACTGATTTCAAAGCCATATGTCAGCCTCAGTCATCTAGTGTTTCCAACCACTAATTTTGGCTGTCACATGAATTCCAACCAGGAAGCCTACGTCCCCCTACACGACTTAGACCAACACCCAGAAACTTCATGGACTGACGCTGTGCTGTAGTTTAGCTCCGCTTGACTTATTTCCAGCCTGAATCTGCTTCATTAAAGATTGTGCAACGGAGTTGGGTGTCGCACCTGTCAAATGTAAGATGGTACTTCAGCTGCATGTACTCCCAGTTTAATGATAGAGAGTGAAGTGGTAGAACGTATAGATCACTTCACTTACTTGGGAAGTTGCATCAGCCCAAACTGGCTGGTTGCTAACGAAATCTTGGCACGCATACAGAAGACCCGTTTAGCATTTGCCAACTTGCTAACGCAACTGGCGAGATATCAGACTATCTATTAAAGAACGAGTATACTGCGCTGCACTCCGTTCGGTTTTGTAATACGACTGTGAAATAAGGCCGTTAAAAGCTGAAGACATAAAGCGGTTGCAAGTTTTTGACCATAGGTGTCTTCTTAGCATTTCTCTTGTATGATGGGATCACCATATGAGCAATTTAGAGACTAGGCAAAGATGATGATGAGGTTATGAACCTTCGGCAATCGAGGTTGTTTGGACATGTGATCCCTATATCGAGCCACCACCTACTTCGATATGCAATGCTAGCAGAAATCGGATCAGACTGGAAGGATGGTTCAAGGTGACACCAGTCGATGAAGTCTCTGGCTGTTGGTCTGGGTCATGTAAGGGGTGTAGACTGCCTGACTGAAATCCTGGAGACGATAGGAATCAATGGTTGAAGATGATTCTTGAAGTAGTTGAAAATTTATCACAATGGTACAGATGTTATTCACTCTTTTGTGTCTTCTAATGCTTGAGCATTTTCACTAATCTTGATTTTCATGTCCATTCTCCTCACATACACCTTTGTCTACTTGATATCGGTCTTCTATTCTCTTGATTTTCACATGCTATAATAAATTGTGATCACCCAAACCGATCCACTTGTGTTCGAGGTTCTGCGTTGATGCTGTCTGCCTGCCGATTTGTTTGACAAGAATAGCTTCATCTCGGAGTAATGAAACACTCTTAGTCTTCTATAGATTCTCAAACTATATAGTGAGTCCCTTGATTGCAGTTTCATCATCCCTAACAAGAGTCCTGTATAGGATATCTTTGTCTTATGAGGTTTCAGAACTCTAAGTTCCCTATTGACCTCCACTATGTTAGGTATGTCTGTGTTAAATGACCATGGAGCTTAGGATATAGGTACACTTTGTTTGAACAGTAGGCCAGTTGAACTTCATTTTCGGGCGCTCTACGAAAGTTAGTGATCTGCATACCATCTATTTTATAGGCCGTCTCACTGACACCAGGCTCCTTGTTTAGACATAAATTTGCAATATTATACTCTATGAAAAAAATCATGCAGTAGAAAAGTGTTACTTCATGGGTGTTTCACTGGATGCTGATTGTCTGATTGTTGAGAGAGTATAAAATCTCCTTTACTTTCCTTTGATCAACCTCTCAAGTCTAGTTGGTCATTATATGTAAACTAGGCGTTTTTAAAAATATCAAATGAATGACAAACTGACAAAATTAATGTAGAACATCGCACGTAGGTGTATCAGCTCAAGTTGCCACATTTCTCAGTAGTACAGAAAGAACAGGTGGATAGAAAAAGTGTGATATCAAAGAAGCTAAAGTATTGTAAAAGAATCAACAATCTGAAGATAACGGTTAGTGTGAATATTCAAATTTTAGAAGATGCTGAGGAGTGAACACATCTGTGACCAATTTTCAGCCATTTAAACAACAGTCAGTCCTCAAATACTGATTCTTTTCGTCTCGTAAACCCCAACAAGGCAGTCCACATCTCCCCATACTACTCCGACTAACAGCAAGAGATTTCATCGACTGATGCCAGGTCTTCGTCTGGCTATCCTCAACCCTCTTCCAACCTAATTTAACTTCCTTTAGCATGGCACGTCGTAGTAGGCGGTGACTTGGCATGCGCAGTACATGTCCAAGCCATTTCAATCGACTAAGGTTCATGACCCCACCAGTCGACTTGCCTGTCTTGCCTAGTACCCTTCGTCTGATCTCGATATTGTTCATATGGCGATTACACCGAACCCGAACAGTGGTACAAAGACACCTTCGATCAAACATCTGTAACCGCTTCCTGTCCTCCACTTTTAGCCGTCATGTCTCACAGACTTACAAAGTGACAGGACGAACAGCAGCGCAGTATACTCGTCCTGTGATAGATTGCCGAATATCTCGCCGGTGCCACAGGTGGCACAAGTTGGCAGATGCCAAATGGACCATTTGTATCCGTGCTGAGATTTCATTGGCAATCAGCGCGTTCAGGCTGATACAAATTTCCAGGTAAGTGATGGCTGGCACATTCTACCACTTCACTCCCTATCAATAAATTAGAAGTGGTTGGAGACCAGTCGTAGAGCATCATCTTAAATTTGACTAGTGTGAAATACATGCCGAACATACTCAGACTTCTGCTTAACGCGTTCTGCGTCAGCATCTTTATCTAGCAGGAAAATATCATCTGCGTACTCCAGTTTAACCAGATGCCCTCCAGGAAGTAGGTCGATCCCTGTGAAGCCAAACGTACATAAGGTTATGTCCATTGGTACGTCTATGACGAAATTAAATAGGAACGGAGACAGTGGACATCTCTGGTGTACAACACTAGTCGTCAATTCATGTAACAACTCTCCAGTAACCCTGAGATGGCTGCGTGAGTTAGAGAGGAGAGCTTTGATTAGCGTTATATAGTTGCTCGGTACTCCCTTCCCAGTCAGACACGGGCACAACACCTCACGGTCGGCAGAGTGAAATGCCGTCTTCAGATCAATAAATATGGCAAGCGTCGACCACTGGCCGGTAGGTATGCCTCGGTTCCAGAACCTATCGTAGGGTGAAAATCTGGTCGATGCACCCTCATCCAGATCTGAAACCTGTTTATTTTTCTGGAGTCTTCTGTTTTCGAGCTCCATTTAGGCGTTGGTTAACTGTGGATACCAGGATCTTGAACACAATTTTGTCAAACTAATTTCCCTATGGTTGTCACGACAAAATTTCCCTCCCTTCTTATAGACTGGGAAGGTCAATAAAGTACACCAATCTGATGCCACTACTTCTGATCCCCATACACTACCTAATACCTCCGACACTTTAGGCAGCAATTTCCTACCTCCATCCTTGAAAACCTCAGGTAGCATACTTTCAGATCCTGCTGCTTTGCATCGTTTCAAGTTCAATGCAGCTTTTCCAAACTCAAAGAGAGTTGGAGGACCGACATCTACGTCGCGTTCAGGTTCAGGCTGGTTCGACGTTGGGAAACTGAAGCGTTGTTTTGGGCCATTTGATCGCTCTTCCAAGTGTTCTGTCCAATTTTCTAGCCACTTGTGCTAGGAGGTTATCAGCGTCAGATCCCTTTCGATGATGGTTTCACTTACCATCGTCTTCTTCTTGCCGGTCTCCTTAATAAGCCTAAATAGCTGGCGGGTACTACCCAGCTCTGATGTCTTCTCCATTACTCTTGGTTTCACCACCCACCACTGCTTGCGATTATTGCGAAGACACTTGGTCAATTTACGTTTAAGTTGCTTTGAATCTTCATCGTGGTCAGAACCAGCAAGAACCAGTCTTCTCGCATTAATCAGTTCGGATGACGTTGGTGAAATCCAGTGACGTCTGCTAACCTTCATGTGTAGGTTACCAATTGTCTTTACCGTTGTTTCTACTGAAGACTTAATATGACGCCAGGTTTCCTCAGGATTCGAATTGCTATCATGTTCAGATAAAAATGCCTAGCTATCTCTTCCTAAAATTCGGACTTGACGTCCTCATCTTCCAATCGACCATGGGAAGGGTTCACTGTTGCCTGCTTCCTGCGACTTATAAGGCGCAGATATACATGAGCCCGTACTAGCGCTTGATCGGGGTCCAAACTGGTACTCCTGAATTAGCAGTAATCTTCCACCTATCCAACGATGGCTGATAGTAATATGATCTGTTTCCATCATTGATTTGTTGTCGATGGACGGCATGTGCCTCTCTCCAACAACAAGTGACTGTAGCAGCAAAATTGCAAGAGACGATCACCGTTATCGGTTTCTTTGTATGAGATACCGTAAGTACCTCCCAGACGCCTTTCCGATTGGCTCAGCTCCCCTACTTGAGCGTTAAAGTTCGCTACTATTATAACTATATCTGAATACTTTGGTTTCCGTAGCAAAACGTACAGCTTCTTATAGAATCCATGCAAGCTACAGTCGGTGGGTGCGTAGGCGGAGATTTCCAATGAGAATCGCCTAGTCTCACTGTCCTTTCTAGTCATTATCAGGAGGTGAAAGGAAAAGAGGAAACAGAGTTGAGGAAGATAGGTTGTGTTTGATTGTCTTGCGCACTACTGTAAGTGTGCAGGCGGTTGACACTTCCTGGCTTCCCACAACGTAGAAGGCGTTTTCTTCTTGAGGTACCTGAAAGAGAAAATAGATCTGCATGACTGTAAAGCCCATGAAAAATCTGCTTGTGACCTATCACACACGGCTTTTTGTGGGTTATTGTCTAGAGGTTCGGTTGTTTTAACGCCGGATAGCGAAAACTCATACCACAGGCACTGGAAGACCGTGGGGGCATTGTGGAGTGTGTTATTTTTGGGTCGACATTTTCCAACCCCCTTCCCCCCATTCCGTTAAGAAGGCAGCATCAGCGTGGTACTGCTGGTCATCATCCAGGTGAAACACCTTGCTACTGCCAAACCCCATCCAGCTATCAGCCGTACTACTTCACCCTCAGACCCCCACCCCAGTGTAATAATTTACATCATAACGGTAACAGCTTTTCACCTTACCACTATCCAACAGACATTTCTGGCATGGTAGGACCTCCAGGGAACAAGCTTTCCGCCAGTATAGCTCGTTGGATCATCGTGATATGCAAACCCGACTACTTATATAACAAAACTGACTTGGAGCATGAAACATCATCTTCCAGCAGGTTTTCATTTAATGTGTACCAAAATGTACAATTAGCATGTAGTTCATCGGAGGCTTGTGGTATGCAATTAGTAATCACTAATCTATTATATTTCACTTAACCTAAAGTTACACTCATGTCTTTTAGTAGAATGTATAATACCTGCAAACAGCTTTAACGTGAAATGTTATTTTATTAAGATTGCTGACAATTTACATCAAACATTTTTAGTGGGGATTATTTTATCTCTGTTATGTGTGATGTAATGTATTAGTTCATAGACTTATCACATATAACTGTTTCACTCATTTGGCTAATGAAAAATGCATTTTATCTTCAAAACTTTCATTTACAGAAATAACTCCATTGAGACTCATTGTTTAGTAAGCTTTGAATTATATCTTGTGAATAAATGAACTGTTAACAATGTTAATTCAACGTTACCAATACTGGCAGAATGAATTTTATCCAGTCGACCAGCATTTGAAAATTCAGCTTTTGGATCACTGTACCACAATTTCACTACATCTATGTATATGAAATGTCCTCAAGAATATCGTGTTATTCTGTTATTACTCAAGTTGAACTGTCTCATCCTTAGTTCGGTAGTTTGTATTGAATTTAATTCATTACTCTAGGGTTAGGATCGATTTAAAGTCATAATTAGGAGTGACTGTATGGTAATTTTCAGGTTGCTGCACCATTCATTTCAAATCATAGATTTTGTTTTTGAGTAGATTTTAATTTTGAATTTTTAATGTATTTATTTGAATGAAAGGAAGCAGAATGTGACCGCTCTCGTTTGGATATGCGCTACGCGGCTGATACTCATATCGCTAATTCAAGTCGAGAATTTCAATTGAAGAAGGCCAGTTTTGATCAAGAAGTGAATACAGCTCGTGCGGAGTCTGAATTAGCCTATAAGTTGCAGGTAATTAATTTTGTTAACATATCAAAATGGTATTACTTTTAGCATTATCTTTCATGAATTAGTCTTTTTGTGGTTCATTGGTTTGGTGTAGAATGAGTTTTGAGGTTACGTAAGTTCTGAAGGTGGCTCTCACTTTCCCGCTTGAAACAGCCTTGATAGTTACTCCTTCTTGAGGTACCTGAAAAAGAATTATATTGGTAATGGTGGCACACGACCCCAGAGCCCATTAAGCGTTCACTTGTGACCGGTCATACAGCTTTTTTAGAGGCTTTGAATTAGCTTTGATTAACTTAAATCCAGCTATAAAACCTGTGGCACCGGCACCGAAATACCTCAGAACAGGTGAGAAAGTGCCATTTTTAGGGATACCCTTTCCTAACCCTTCCCCTTCTCGTAGGGAAGACGAAATCAGCGTGGTATATTAATACCCATCCACGAGTAACCGTACTGCTGAATAGTGAGATACTTTTGATGTTGGTGGAGTATAAACTATCTACTTATGCTCTATAGGAGTTGGTAAAATCTGTATTACGACAGATTGTTAAAACGGTATTATTAGCCTTATTTAGAATAGCTTATTAGTCTCCACTGAGATTCATGCAACTTGCATAGTTGTCTCATAAGATAGTGTTTTTGATATATTGCATGTTCTAACTTGTTGAATTCAGGATGTAGGTTTCGTTTTATTGTAAAATCATTGACATTATGCACCCTCATAATGTCGTTGGCGTTTATACTGATATGATGATCGATTAACGGTTGTTATGAACACCAGGATTTCAATAAAGCTGTGGTGGAAGAAACAATGGATAGGTATGCAGGAAAGAGTGTTCGTCGTCAACAAGTGGAACAGTAGTCGTTAAATGTGGTAAACCTTGCACTAAAACCGTCACTTGCAAAATATGCTTCATTTCCTCTTCTGCTTCTTTCTTGGTCTGCTCTTTATACGCCTCCCTCGTCTCTTGCGTTTCTCTTGGTGAAATCCCTACTCATTGCTGATAATTACCTGTGATTTCTGCCACCCTCCCAGATATACTACTTATATCCATTCTTATCAGCAACGCCCACTACAGTAGCATGGTATGCTAAGCATTTCATGAGGTTCCTCTTGCATTGGAGGGGTATGGCACTAAAGAAGTGCGTGTATCGACTCGCCAATATTGGCTTTCAATATATACTTTATTTCAGAATTCCATCTTACCTTCTTAATAGCAGAACATCAAGAAATGAGATACTGTCATTTTTCTCCTCTTCTGTTGTGAATTCGATTGTCGGATGAACACTATTAAACTTATCAAGAACAGTATTCTTATCAGTCTCATTTTTGAAAACTATGAAGGTATCATCTATGTAATGACAATATAATTCCAACTGGCCAGTAGTTTCTTTCAGAGGACTATTCTCTAGTTTTGGCATAAAAAATTCTGCCAAGATTCGGCCAAGCTGCGATCCCATAGCTACATCATCAGATTGTCTGTTAAGTTCATTGTTGAAAAGGAAATGTGGCTTCATCGTACACCTCAGAAGTAGTTCTTTCAAGGTGGAGACTGAAATACCTATTTTCATGCCGTGCTTATTCAGTTCATTGCAAATAAAGTCTACTGTTTCCATTAAAAAAACGTTAGTAAGAAATGATAAGGTATCACGCGGTATCATAGACTTGTTATCTGCCTTCAGATCCTCAATCTTTTCAACAAATCCAAAGGTATCTTTTAAGCTATGCTTTGCAACTCCTTTGTGGAGAGGCTTCATGAGTTGTGCTAACCATTTTACGGTTGCATGATACGGCGAGTTCGACATATCGAGAACTGGTCGGGGAGATAATCCATTTTATGCAGTTTTGACAGATCATAAAGTCTAGGTGTAACAGTTCTAGTAGGTTTGAGCATTTCAAAGACGCTTTCTGGATTGAAACTCAGTGGTTTTATCTATTCCTATCTTCTGCGTCTTATCACCACAAACGACTAATTTCTGAACTTTAATTTCATCACTAAACAAGTTATTCATCTTGTCTGTATATTCTGTTTTATCCATCAAGAAAAAGTATTCATGATTCTCTATCTGGCTTAGTAATGACAAGATTCTAACTCGCTGTAAGCTCTCCCAAAGCTTATCTGTGCTTTTCCGTTAAAGTACTCTTTTTATCATTCCAACTACTTTTTTACTTAAGGCAGGAGTCAATAACTGTAATCTTAAGTCTGTCAACGTCTTCACTAGATGAGAGTACTAAACCAATCTGCCTATGTATACAAGTTCTCAAACTCTACTTCCGTTTCCTTCTCAATTATCATATTACGACTATCACAAAAGCTTGGGCCAAGTGACAAAACTTCTACTTGTATAGCATCAAGGTCGGTACTAGAAAAATTGTGCACAAACTGACCTGGGTTAGTCGGGAATCTCATCTCTGGTGTTTGGTTTTTAAGACTTCTGACCAACCTAATGAGCTTCCTTTCTTCCTGTGTATTGATAACTTTTGCCGCATAACTCGAAAATTCCTGTTCTAAGTGTTTGAGCAGCTCTTTCGCAGCATGAAATTTCTGTGACATTTTTCAACATTTCAGTAAAATACGATTTTAGCGAGTCAATCTGATTCAGAGCATAACACTTCAGTGTTCTTCAGTTGGGTCAAAATCCTGAGTGACGTAATTATTATATTATTATTTATCCCTTGAGTTCCTAACGGAACATACAGCTTCAGTAGCACGTCTCCATTGCACTCTCTTCTCTGCAGTCTTTTGAACCTGGCCCTACCACTGGCCACAACCTTGCATTTCTTCCTCACATGATCTCCTCCCTGTCACCCTCGGATGCCCAACTCGTCGCTCCCCATCGGGGTTCCACTCGAGAGACCGGTGCGTGATGTCCCCAGTCGGCAGTGCACTGGTTCATCTTCTGCTTCACCATCTTCCTCTCCCTCATCTATCAGCTTCCATGTGTCCGTCGAGATTCATTCCTTGTCTTTCTTATTCTTCCTTCCTAACAAGGTTATGCAGGTTCCCTTCCAAATAGTCGCTTCCACAGAGTTCCAGTGTTCTTCCATGCAGGGTTACTCATGGATGTCGCTCAATATTTCTCACTTTTTCCTGATGACTGACTGATGTGAAGAGATGTCCTTCGTAGTTTCCCCCCTCACTTTCTGTTCTGAGTGTTTAACTTAAATTTGAACTGTGGTCTACCACCAACTTCTTTGAAGGCTTTCAACTTGATTTTGAAGGTTCCTTGTACTAGATGGTGAGTGGTCTGAGCCTACATCTGCCCCTCTTTTTGACCTTGTGTCAAGCAGGCTGCATCTCCACTTTCTTGAGATTGAGATAAAGTTGATCTGATTTTTAGTGTGTCCGTGTGGTGTTTGGTGAAATCCATGTCGCTTTGTGAATATCCTTGTGTTTGTACACGTTTCGTTGCCGCCAATCACCAAATCGTTGAATGCACAGAGTTCTGCAAACAATTCTCCATTCTCATTCATCATTTCACCTGGCGCTTCTCGACCCATGGTTAGTTCTCTTCCTGTGTTTTCCGCTCCCGGTTCGGCATTCATGTCGTTCACTAGAATTTTGATGTCGCCAACTGAGGTCTTGTCCAGTGTTGATTGCAGCTGTCTATGGAATTCCTCCTTGTTCTCGTCATCTGCATTATTTGTAGGTGCGTAGCGTAGCACTGTATGATTGTGACTCTCTTTCCTTTTGAGTTGAACTCTACTGTCATGATCCTGCAGAAGGAGACTGGTTCCCACTGCATGAGAGCCTTAGATGCTCTTGGAGACATCATGATAGCCACTCCATAACTCAGTGTGCTCGTGGTTGTCGTCTGGGTGACAATATCGGAGTAGATTATTGACTCTGTAGTTAACAGTTTGGAGAGTCCACTTGCATTCCATCTGCAGATTCCTAGCCTAGCACTTCCATGCCATACCTTCTCATTTCATCTGCAATCTGGGCAGCCTTGTTAGGTTCATACATGGTGCAGGCATTCCATGTCCCCATGTTTACTTTCACTTTCATCGAGAGAAGACACATTAGCCAACTGGCTTCCCGAGGGCTTTCACCAACTGGCGTCATTTTGTCCTTCCGATTCCAGCGAGGAATAGGTTTGTTTTTATGTTTTATATTTTCTTTGTGCTTTAAAGTTTCTTTAGTGACTGAATTGGTTTTCCGGAGTAGGTTTGGTAGCTCTATGCCCAATCTTCCCTGTTTATCCGGCTTAGGCCTGGCTAGTAACTAGTGAACTAGTTAACTATTCGCGTGACGTAAAGATTTCCAATATTCGTTCGGGTAACGGTTTATCGAAATACATTCGTCGATGAAACATATAGTAGCCTTCGCTTCACAGAGCCTTGAGCTGTACTTCAGGTGCTCATTGAGGATCTTTATAGCTATTCCCTTCTAGACATTTAGTATGGGACTTTTTAGAGTTTTTTCTCTTAAGTGGTCAGGCATATCCAGTAAATAATTACGTAAAAATAGGAAGACAATTGAATATTGATAGAACAAGAGGGACAAGAAGTGTACAAAATAATGCTGAAAGTTACGTGATTTGAAGACCTTGGTAATGTAAGCGGTTGGACAAATTTTTTTGCATAAAAAGGTTAACCTTGTAAAGGTGGATTGCAATCTTGGTTGTATGCTGTTCTCTGAGCTGGGTTGTTTAGTCGTGGAGCTTTCGTCGTCTTTCTAGACGACATCTTCATGAATAACTTTAGTGTGAAGTGAACTGTCAGTATCTCTCCGTGAGTGATTCAGTAGCTTGTCCTGACGAACTGGTTTGTGATTGGTTGTTTCTTTTGGTTGTTGTCACTGACCGCGTAGACTTTCCTATTGACTGTTCCTCTGCTCGGCCTCTGATCTTTGTGTCGTTTATCATTATTCTGATTGGTTGATAGATTTGGTCTATGTCTATACATCTATTGATTGCTGACTGACTGACTGACCTGAATGCCAAGCTTCTATGAATTCCCTGATATTCTTTGTGTTTCCTCTCTCCGTCCAAAATTTCTACAT